CTGATGTAAACTAGTCTAGCATCAGTTTCAACCATTAGACTAGAACTAAACACGCCAAAAGTTTTTATTTCAGTAAAACTCTACCCATTTTCTTCTCTGAACAAGTACAGTCCATGCACCTATTCTTTGGCTCTATGGCGTCATGGAGAGCAGCTAATGAGGTTATTGGGCATCTGCGACGTGACATCTACATTTTGGCCTATTTTGTGAGACAATGGCAACAAGGAAGCTGCAGGGACACGGGACTCTTGTGTTTCTCCCAACTCAAAATAACAAAGCCGAGTGGCGGCTGGTGGGAGGCTGCGCTCTCATGGAAATGAGCAACCGAACCAACAATGTAGGGCCTAATCTCTTCAGAGACAGGAATCAGTTACACCGCGGTGTGCAGGCCTTGGTGCTTTTCATTAGTCAGCCTGCTATTCAACGGGCCTGCTGCAGCCAGGCACATGCACGCACACACACACACACACTAGATACAAGGTAGCACCCTCCACACACACACACACACAACAGAAGGAACAACAGAAATAAGTGGGGCAGAGAGGGTAGTGTGTAGGAGGGGGGGCGAAGCCTCAAAGCATGGGATTAGAGTTAATGTGCCCTCCTGGGTTATAATCTCTTTAGAAGTGGACTTTGAGGGGTTTGAGGGCAGTAAAATGAGTACCCATTACCCCCCCCCCCCCCCCCAAATACCCCTCCTTGAAAAATGAATCACCAAACCAAAACCCCCGACTCAGAGTCCTCTGATATAAGATCCAACAGCAATCGCTGCCCTTTTCAGATAATCAGGAATTACAAGTCCAGCGCCGCCCGGAGAGTACGAGTCAGACCTTTCCTCCATCTGGGGCCTCCAAAGTCAGGTAGTTAAAGTGAGATCAAAGCTGGATTTAAATCTCAAGGAGCTCGGAAGGGGGAGGAGGATTAAGATAAATTAGACAATTGAGAGTGGACCAACAATATCCGTTTCTAGTGAAGAATGAAGAACAAACAGGAAATACTTCATTTATTAATTTTTATTAAAAAGATGTCCAAACTCCAAAAATATCATTATATAAATACTGTACAAAGTTATATGTGCCGTTCAGATTAAACTAAAGGGATTAAACAACATTCCAACACAAGTTTTCAAAGCAAATTTTAAAAATCCGTCAAGAAAGGATCCATGTTTTTATTTTTGCACGGCGGCGGGCGTGTTGACGTACAGCAGGTGAGCAGGTCAGGGGCCACAAAGTTTAACCGAGCAAACAAAAATAACTGATATCTTACATTTACAAAGTCAGACGTGAATGCAGATCTGTGGTTTTTCAGTTATAGATCACAAACCTGACAGTAGCTTCATCAGCAAAGCTCCAGCGGCGCGCGGAGCCGCTCGGAAAACTATACCAGAAAGATGTGAGATTCCCAGTTTTGGAACATAATTTAAAAAACAAGATCAGAATGTTGATAAAGAAAGGAAATCAGAACGAGTGTGATATTACCTGCGTGCATTATTATTAGAACAGGGTTGTGAAGAGCTTTTCTGTTTAAACTCCAAATTAAAATTATTATATTTTCTAAAATCAGTCCGAGGTGCAGGCGAGAGGAAGTCTGACAACCCACTTCCATTACTCACAAGAGTCTCGCAATATTGTCTAAATATCGAAATAGGATTGTAACTTTTGTCATGACATCACCACTTTTTTGGGGGGGGGGGGCTAAAGCTAAAGAAAAGGCCCAGAGGCCTTGTTTACCCACTGTTACACAAACTTAGCCTTGTGCTGATGCATTCCAGAAAACGCATGCGTGAGGTTAGAACCATCATATATCAGCCCTCAAAACGCACCCGTTTACCGTGACGGAGCGTTGACCAGGAGCGGCACGGGCCAAACGAAGGCCCAAAGCCTGATTCACGCTTCTCCGTCTGCGTCGGTGCGGAGACACGCGACGCCATTATCCGTCCTCGCGGGCCTGTTGCAGAGCCCCGCGAGGACGGACGGAGTAGAGCTCTCTTTTCTAAACATCCGTCCGTCGAGACGAGAACACAAGCTTGTGATTGGTCAGGACGCCGCTGTCGTCTACACTGCCAGCATTGCGCCCTCAAAAACATAAAGAGAGTCGAGGATAACTAGCGGCAGACACGGAGCAGCTTGAAGAATACCTCGCGAAAAAAACTCTAAAAATATGAACGTTTAATTCCCCCCGTGACTGGAGGAGTGAAAAGATGCGCAGCAAGCGTTTTATTTGGAAATGACAGGAAACGTGGGTTAAGAGGTGGGGAGCGCATGAAGAGGTGGAGGAGGATGAGAGACAAATTTGTCTGAGTTAAAAAGTCTCTTATAAACAACAAACACAATATAAACACGCTATCTTGGACCGATACATGACAGGCTACCACAGAACAGCGCTGCGCCCTCTGCTGTCCTGGCGGGGAATTGCTTGGCTACACTCCCCAGGAGACGGAGAAGAATGAGAGCAAAACGCTTCCGTCAATCCGTGCGTGTCTGTCCCTTGCGGAGCTGACGGAGAAGCATGAATCAGGCCTAAGTCTCAGCTGTTGTAGTCAGAAAAGCCTGCTGTAGTCTAATGTGTGCGCTGTTATGAGGAAAAGTGACGCTCTGATGATGGAAGGTGACTCATGCTGTCGACAGCATGAAGGAGGTTGTTTTAGTGTGGCGCCTTTCAAGATGAAAATCACAATTGACTTCATATGCACAATAAAATATAACAAACAAAATTAAAATACAACAAATACGAATGAGAAAGCCTGAAAATGATCCTCTATGGTGATCGTCTCCATCAAAGCAGCAACGCTTCAAAAGGAGGCGAAGGACGATGTGAGAAGGACAGACGCATGGACAAAGGTACGATCATATGTGATGTTCAATAATAATTAAAACTTTTTTTTAAATCAAAACATAAGCTTCTATTTTGGGTTCTTCTATTTTTGTGCATGTGACTCCAGAGGAGCCGGTGCTCCAGTGGTCATGAAGCTCACCTCGGGTCACCGGAGCAGGCTGCTGTTTAGAGCCCTTCCACCCCATCGGCGCCCTTTTTACTCCTAAACTCCAGAGTTCAGCTCGTGGACATTAACATTTCTGTTATGAAGTTAGAAGAACTGAGCTGTTGGAGGCATCAAAAGCTCTAAAAGGCATCAATAACAGACCAGATGACATTTATTCTGAAACATTTTGATGTTTTTTTGCCATTACACTAAATCCATCTATCTGGTGACTTTTAACTATTAAAAATTAACTGAACCTGCATTTAGAACAACCAATGAAATGCTATCGGCTTCAGAATAAATACAATCAATAACAAAAACCTGTGTTACAACTCAGCGTCCATGTTTGTCTCCGAGTTCTTGTAAGCTGCCTGAGCTGCTCAAGTGTGTGTGTGTGTGTGTGTGTTCTCATAATATAAACAAAGTAAAAGTTGGTCCACGTGAGTGTTATCTTCGTCAGCGAGAGAACTTCCTGGGTCTGAAAGCAGGAACGCTGAGCTGATGAGAGCCGACCCTCTCCTCCTCGATCGGAGCCAGCTCCTCTGCTGAACCCCACTTCTTCTTGGACTGGAACAACGAAGCCAACTTCCTGTTCTTGTTCCGCTCTCTGGCCTGAGTGACGTGGAACTCTAAATCCACGAGAAGCAAACATTCATGCATGAGACAAAAACGTTACTCAAGCTATTTTCCACTTTGCAGAATCTATGTGTTGTAGTTGTTGTGCATCCAAATGTCTTGCCATACATTCCTGTGTACTGCTGTCCAGTTACAGGTGATGTCTGTGAAACAAGACGGGTTGTACAACGTGACGTATTTGAGCAGTAAACCTAACATTCAGATGAGCTGAAAACACACCCAGCATCAAAGCCACGTTAGACTTTTCCCACAGGCCTGTAATAAAAACTCTAAAATTATTGAAAATTAACATTTTGTTCTCTTATCAGTCTTATTTGCTCTCTTTGTTGGCATTCTCATCAAGTACATCAGCATGTAGGACGCTGCCTCCTCTGCTAAGGACAGGGTGTTTATTTTTTATTAGAGAGACAATGTGTAGTCGTGGAGGATGGCTGCTTATACTGAGCCAGGATCCTCTGGAGGTTTCTTCCTGTTAAAAGGGAGTTTTCCTCTCCACTGTCGCTAAATGCTTGCTTAGTATGAGGATTGCTGTAAAGACTCTGACACTAGTCAGTGACTCGATGCAACCTGCTGGGCTCCTTATATAGGAAACATTTTACTGATTGGCTTAGTGACATGACCTGTATTGGACTGTTTACCGAGTGAAGTGCCTCGAGACGACTCTTGTCGTGATTTGGCGCTTTATAAATAAAGTTGCATTGAACTGAATTGTAGTTTTTACCTAGCCTGGCAAGCCAGACTAAATAAATGTCTCCCCCTCAGAAGAAATGTTGAATGCTGCCGTCGCCATGGCAACTGTCTCCCTATGCCAGCCTGGGCGGGACTGCGACCGGTGAAGGCCGTTGAATCGTTCCAGGAGTCACTGTGCTCCCTAAACCCAACAACCTCCTTCCCCTGTCCAAACGGAGGTGACGAGCGCTGCTTATCATGGCTGCATGCACTGATGTGTGGAGAGTCCCCAACCCTACCTCACCACCTGGTGGACACTTATGTTGTGTAATGTCTGAAGTCTGTTGCATTTCTGTCTGAGATGTTTTTGCAGAGCAAAGCTGCCCTCTCTGTGGAGGGTAACTCTGAAGTGCCTTTTTTTCCTCCACCTGAACCAATCCTCATTTAACCCTCTGATCTCTATTAAGGTAGCGCGACTCAGGCTGCAAATGACCACAGCCACCAATTCTTGTCATGTGTGTGTATGTATGTATGTCTGATCTCAGAATTGTGTACTGAAACTCTAATTTCCCTCTGGGATTAATAAAGTATCTTTGAACTTGAATTGAAGTGCTGTGGATTGGTGAGACCGTCAACTGGATGGTCCGATTATTGATTTCAGACCGAGCCGTGTTATTGGTCGAGGTTTTTAGACAAATGCAATGGAACCACTTTATTTATTAGTTTTTTTTAATTGTCTACAAAATATTTAGAGCTGTACTTTGTTGGAACATTAAGAATCATGAAAAAAATGTTTTAGACTAGCTAGTTTTGTAGTTTTGTAGCTTTAGCCGATAACTGATCATGATGCCGACTTATTCTTTCTTACAGAAGCATGGCTACAGCAGGAGGATCATGATTATATGTCAACTGCTATTGAGCTAAATTTTTCAAAACATACCTAAAGCAACCAGCCAAGCAGAAGTCGCAGATTTTTTTTTATATAAATCTGATTTATTAGTTGATATTTGATTTGTCTTTGTTGAACTGGATTTATGAAGTAAAATCAACTAATGTTAAACATTTTGTACACCTAACGTACAACAATTAACCTATTTTAGGCAACGCAAGGCAGTTTTATTTATTTAACATTTCATAAACAGAAGCAATGTGACGAAACAGAATTCCTACCTCTCCAGCCTCAATTTCTCATTCTGCTGTCCACTTTGTGATAATTACTACAAGCTGCAGCAATTAAACAAAAGTTTATGGCCACGGTCACTTTGATGCCATATATGGATATGTGTTAAAACTGTAGTATTTTACAGAAAAATAAAACTTTATGGGACAAAAATGGGAGTGTGTGATATATTCTATAAAATACTAAAACATATGTGTGCCTTACATTTTACAGGCAAACCCTTCAATGACGTTTTGAAGTATGGTGAAGAAAAAAGGAACCATAAACTCTTTTAAACCATCAAATAGATCAAATATATGTTGTACTTTTTAAAGAATAACAGGGAGAAATTTAAAAAAAGCATCATAAACAAAGAAATACACTTAGAGTTGTCAATTATGATAACTTTAATAATTTAAAAGAAAATTATGAGGCACTCACGCAGCTCAAAGTCTTCTCCTGGACCTTCAGGCTCTTTGATGCTCAGATAATGGCTGGGAAAATGGCCGCTGTAGTCTCGTAAGTTTTCTTTAGCCCCTGAAAAGATAAAACACAAATCTTCCCAAAACAGTCAGGTAAGGCAGCAGGTAATCCACCTGGCTAAGACTTTGCACCTGAGCTCTACAGAACCATCAAAAGGTGAGCCGAGCACTCGAGCACACAAGCTGCTGTTGCTGTTAAATAACCGAACCGCTTCTCGGGGTGACGCGTGGCGAAAGGGGATGCCTTCGTTTTCATTCTAACCCGACCCGAGTTACGCAATCTAGCTGCTTTCTCTAACAAGGAATCAACAGTTTAGGATAACTGCTGCAGAGTAAAAGAACACGTCTTACCATAAGTTCCCACAAGCAGGTCCAGAATGTGCAGGTGACCATGTAGGGCTGCGATATGCAGAGGTGTGTATCCCTGCAGAGACACGGGACATGTCCGTGAAAAAGATCCCAAAATCTGAGATTCGTGTTTTTTTTTTACTTTGGAAAACTGAAGAGATGGAAGATCTTAGTGCCTACCCCCTATAGGTTCCCACATCCAAATCCCGCCAGCGAAAACAGCAGAGAAAAAGTACACAAATTAGTAAAGGTTATGGAAACACCAGATAATGACAAAAAACATAATTGCGTGGTAATTCACAGAAAATTGCGCCGCTGCCGACGTGCATGCTGGCAAACAGACGCGGTGTTTTGGGAAACAATTAACATGACATGACATGATTTATTAGCGGCGAACTCCCGCCGCCTCAGAGCCCTCGCTGCTGTAATCCATTTGCACAGCTGCATCTTCGCAGAGATCTCAGAGGAGCGTGACATCACCCACCGGTACTGTACATACCCAACATGGAAGCCCGGTTACTCACGTGCTGCAACGGAGAAGAGACGCGGGATTAAACCGGAGAATGTCACACAAACTACACAAAGTTCAGTTCCAACAGGCACGGAGGAACAATGCCAACTCATCTAAACGCTTCATTTGATTCTTGCAACTGATTATAATGACATAATGTGCATAAATAATTCCTTTTATTTAGGTTGTCTACTTTAGTAAAATGAGAAAAGGCGAACTCAAACGAGCCAATTGCAGGAAACCTGAGAATGGTCAACAGCTGCAGGTGTGCTGGGACTGCACAGTTCAGGTGATCCAACACCGGGTCCAGTCTAGCATAGAAATGCTCTAGTAGGGACTCTACATCGGCTGAGCAGCCAGACATCATCATGGACCAGACAACCTTTGTGGTTTCACCTCTTCTGGATCTGCCAGCACATCCATTATGAAGAATCACAATAATTGCACCGATAGGTGCATTTGTTGCATAATCTGATAATGTACGTCTCAACATGCTGTGAAACAGCTCTTAAAAATGCTATTTATTCACCGGGTCAGAAAAACAACGAGTCATGTTCACCTGGACAGAATAAGTCATTGAAGGGACGGCCGACGATTTAAATGTTCTTGTCGTTTAAGTCTTATTTTGAAAGTGTACCTGTGGTGTGGCTGGCTGTTTTATTTCATTTACAGATTCATGATTGTGTCGTGACTTGTTGTCATACGGGAACCTGATTTGTGTTTGGCCCAGTGTGGCGGGGTGGGTGCAGCCGAGTTTCTGTGTGTTCTGTTTTACAGTCATGAAAATGCATTTATAAGAAAACGCTGGTAAAAAAAAAACTATTTGTTGTTGACCAGGTTCTCATCTGTGTGTATGTGTGTGTGTGTGTGTGTGTTATATTTTTTTCTATTTTTGCGTTATTAACACGGATTTCAGACCCAGTTTTGTGTGTAAGCAAGCTTTATAAATGAGGCCCCAGGACACAGATATGAAGCTGCTGTCTACATTTAAAGCTGTAAATATGTGTATTATTGCTTCTTTCTTATAGAAACTCTGGTGAGTAGAGCCATGTTGTGGTTGAATGAATGTTTTCATGTGGTGGTCTGATTCCTGCTCTTTTTTAATCAATGAAAAATCTCTGATTTCATAAGGTACATGGCTGTAAAATTTTGCAAATGAGATCAAATTTTCTTTTTTTTTCCACGTTCCATTCAGAAATGGATCCTGTAAAGGATCGGGCCTCCAGGTTGGTCCCAGCTGACAGACTAAAGCTGATTCATTGTTGTTTCCAAACAAAAAGGACGGTTCACTGCCGGTGGCAAAAAAAATAAAATGTCCCTGTTTTTTTTACACCTTTTTAAGACTAGATACCCGTTTTTCTGTAAATAAAAGCCAGACCAAGCTACGATAACGTAAGCTGTCCTACAACAGGAACTGAGCCGAACAACAGAAGGAGCGTTTAGTCATGACTCACTGCCATTGTTTGACGTGGGAAGCAGCCACATTGCTGCTGAACAGTTGGTGTATTGTTCGACTGTTTGAATGAGATCAACCCTATTTACCCAGCGATCCGTTATGATGGAGAACATTTATGGAGCCTGAAAGCAGGTGAGAATTCACTAAACGTCACCTTTCTAGGTGTTGGGAGACAAACAAGAAGCTTGTAGCTAATTTAAAATGTGTACTTTAAATTTCCCTAATCCTTCATGTCTTTACTAAATCTAGCAAAAGTCCCGCTGCCTATATTCAGCTACGCTGTAAGAATAAATAAATAACTAATGCAGTGATGATCTCATGCATCCTGGTGTGACCGATATTTGCCGCATGCCGCCTGGAAGTTGGAGAAATTAAACGACAAGACTCAGAAAAGAGTTTTCTGACGACCCCGACCTCCAAATCCAACATGGCTGCCCCACACATGATACTGGTGACAGTCACAAAAGTAAACCGTTTATTTAGACATTTTTCTGTTTGTATCCATGTGTGTCCATTCAGGAAATTGCAGCAACACTTAAAAGTTCATCAGCGTCAAAGGAAACGAACTCTCTTTATCTGAACAGAGGCTGTTCAGGAAGCTTTTTAAAATGTGTGTGTAGAAAGATAAAATTCTAAATGGCACAAAATTCTCTTCAAAAACTGGTGTTAAAACATCAAATAAATCCAAACTCACTGATTTAGTGTTGACATCAGCCCCAGCGTCAGCCACCAGAGCCGCCATGTCTTTGTTACCGTGCTTGGCCGCCCAGTGCAGAGCTGTCTGTGGAACAGAAAATAGGCGTCACACGTTTCATTACGACTGTAGCATTAAAGCAAGTTGTTGAAGCTAAGCAGGCCCGTCTCCTATTGGCTGAGGGCGGAGGCCCAGCTGTGAGGTGTGGACTCATGGAGGGATGGATGGTAAGAAGGAGGGATGGTTTCCTGCCATCTAACAGAGCCTAATTACAAAACAACACAGCACTGTGTCCACGGTCGGGGGGGCGGGCCGCCTGTCATCGGGGGAGAAGATTGATGATGTTGGTGTGACCTGCAGAGGGGAGACCCACCCACACATCACCAGGCTACTGTCAGCACACGTCCAGGAGGGAAATCTGAGCCCGCTTTGGTGCAACAGATTCACCCGCATGTAAAGATGTGTGTGTAAAAATAACACACACTCAAATAGCACGAGTCACACGAAAACCACCTGCCAGACCACAGCTGTGATCTCTTTCTTCTTCCTACACGCTCAGAGTAATTATGGGCCATCAGCAAGTGAAAGCGGTGGAGGTGCAAATGTCAGCCAAGTAACCACATCCATCCCTGCAGCCATGTGACCCTTAACACAGCAAATCAAACAGCAACCATGTCACAACTGCATATTAACCATGGATGTGTGAAAAACCTGTAACCTCTGGTATTTACCCACTGTTGACAAAAGAGCTCCTCGGCGGAGCAGACAAGACCATCTGCGTGTCTTGTACGTGGAAACAGCTTTTCATCCCAGAGCTTGGAACAAAACGTTGTTGAATGAGTTCCTGTGCTGTTAAAAAGCAACCAGCGAATCCTTGAAGTGTACAGGAAGTCATTTCGTTCAACTTTCTGCTGCTTTAAAGGGATTTCAATAAACCTGGAACGCTCCTCCAACATCTGCCCGAAACAGAACAAAAAGGGTTGACGAGCTAACGGCTAGTACGGCACATTGCATCTGAAAGGCCCAGGACTCTAATCGATCATAATTCAAGTCAGAAAGGGAAGCTTGCTGCCCGAGCGAGCCCTCTGATCCCAATCGTGTACAACCGGCTGGTCCAGCAGACGACAACAGAAACATTTCTCGTCCAATTGCCTGAAGGGACAGAGACAGAGAGACTTTGAGAGACGCTGTCCAAGTCTTAGCTCTGTCCCATGTCACATCTGAAGACTGATTGGTCAAACTGTTGTCTGACAGATGACCCAGCAGGTTTCTCAGTAGGAAGGAATGATCAACGAGGCTGAACAGGATGCGGGCCCTCTCAATTCTGTTCCTGACCACCAATGCCCCCCCCCCCCCCCCCCCCCCCACACACACACACACACACACACGCTTCCCAGTGAAGGAAGTGGTAGCTAAAGATGATTTATAGAGACAGGATCCCCAAAAGCCGGTCTACCCTGGACGTGGAAGGAGACGGAGACGATTGATTGGAAAATGATATACTCACAAACTGTAAGGTGGAGGAAGTCCATCGCAGTAGGAATGGAGGCGCACATGGAGAAGAGAAGGAAGAAGACAGAGGCTGTGAGACTTGGCATGAGAAGACTTAGTTGACTGTGGAGGTTTTCCGCCAAATGGCACTCCAGTGCTAAGCCAGAGAATTAGCAACCATCTAATTCTGATTCCTTTACTGAGAGTTCTCAACACCAGCAGGCTAACCCCCAGGTTACAGCGGGAGAACGGGCAGTGTCGTCACGTCCGCAGCTTGTCCATCCTCACCAGGAGTGTGTCAAGCGTTAAGCGGCTGTGTCATGGTCCACGTAGCTGGACTCGCCAGATCACAAAGTGACCGGAGACGTGACGAACGTGTTTGTAACTTTTTCCTACATGACAGGGTTTTTAAACTCGCCATCCACCCCGACAATTACAGTTTCGTTCCATGCCTTCTCTGTTTTGGTGTCGTCTTTGTATAAAGGATGAGTGGTGTTTTATATATATATATATATATATATATATATATATATATATATATATATATATATATATATATATATATACAATGCCGTGTCATATTTCACTACCAAGATAAAAATGCTGTCGTCCGCGCTGAAAGATGCACTGATGTTCTCCTATGATGTAGGGAGCAAATCAGCTTTTTGGTCACGAGCAAAGACCAGGGTATCTGCAGATTTAAGGGAGCCAAATTTAAGACCTTTTAAGACATTTTTTAAGGCCACTTTGACGAAATTTAAGCAATTTTTTAAAATTTCATTTAAGCTAATTTCTAGCTATTGCCTGGAACCGGTGCTAACCACGTCGTGAACGTGGGATTAGCCACCCAGTTACCATTAAACTTTCACTTCCCCATGGTGCAAGCTCCCACTAGCTTAACCAGCTAATGTGCTCATCTAAAAACAGCCCCCTTTCACAACCAACTGAATGTGTACGTTCCGCTTACGCCAACATCGTACACAAAAAATGCTGAACACTAACTAGAAATTCACAAAAATTTTATAGAAATAAAAATGTCTTGTTTATTGGGTCTTTGGTAATTTAAGACCTTTGGAACCCGTATTTAAGGATTATTTGTCATTTTTAAGGATTTTTAAGGCCTTAAATTTGGAAAAGCAAATTTAAGACTTTTAAAGACTTTTTAAGGACCCGCAGATACCCTGAAAGACGTAAAGTTTACCAACTTAAGCAATCGTAAAGCTGCATTTGGCTTTAATCTCCTGTGATTTCCTATTAGGTCCAGCGTTAACCACACATCTTAAAGCATTTTGGTAGCGTGTCGCATCAGAACTAGAACCAAGTGCATCTTTAGCAGCATGGAACGTCCATGCAGGGACGTGTCTGAAACTTGGCGCGGCGCATCCGAATGGAAAACAAACCATAACAGCTTCTAATAGCTGTATAGACAAGCAGCCGGTGTGAATGGGGGTCAAGTAGACCAACAACCACTGAAAAGGTGTGTGCACCATGGTAAAACCCCGTTTCATCTAAGGCAGGGGTGTCAAATATGCGGCCCGTGGGCCGCATCCGACCCGCAAACGGGTTAAATCCGGCCCGCGAGATGGTTGTGTAAACTTTATTTTCATACTTTACAATGTAGAGTGAAAATAAACGTATCATTGTGAGCAAGTTTTCTCTGTAATGAGTATAAATAAAACAAAGCTGCGCTCAAGGCTCACACAAGAACTTGAATCCCATCCTGAAGTTGGCCGCCACTCAGGATGTGACTTCTGATGTTGATGTGCTGGTGAAAGCTAAAAGATGTAAAGTAAAATGAGTCAAATTTTGCTGCATGAAACTGGTCTAGCCATGTGATCTGTAAACTCTTTGAATCACTAAGGAATGTTTATTTATTTATTTATTTATTCAAATTTTCAAGTACACTTCAGGTGTTGTACTTGTACTATTTTGGATACACTGTCCTCAGGCTCCAGCCTTGTTTTATATTGATTGTATTAAAACAAAGAAAACAATCTGAAGTTGTTTTTAATTTACCGGTCCGGCCCACTTGGGACTAGATTTCCCTCAATGTGGCCCCTGAGCTACAATGAGTTTGACACCCCTGATCTAAGGCAAACACCGCTTTAAGAGAAATAATAAGTAGCATTAGCAGGAAAAAATGAACTCATTCTCTTGCATACCTACTCGGCTTCCTGCAGTTTGTAAACAATCACATGGAGCAGAAAATGTAATTTAGCTTCTTTTGTAGTAGCTTTACTTGTAAAACGAGTATATTCGTTTATTACATAATAATATATATTATAATACATTATTTTATGGTTGGCTCTTTGTCTCACCAGCTGTATAAACTCTAATACACAGCTGTGTTAAACACACATCAGAGATCAATAACTGTTCGATCTACATTAAAGCCGCTGTTTGTACGTCCTCACAAACATTTAGACAGAACAACATCCTGGAGGGATGATCTGCTCTGTCCTGGTCAAACATGTAAGCTGCAGCACTCTCGTCTTCAGGGATCTGTACCAGTCACTGGTTGGAGTGACAGATTAAATCTCACAGCTTTCATGAGGAATCTTAAGACCTCTTCTCAAAATCGTCCACCTCTAGTGAACAGAGTCAGGTTGAGGGCTGAAACATCAAAGAGGCCCGAGGTGGGGCTTAGCACCTTCCCATGGACACAACCAGCATTGTTCTACAATTAATCCCAGCCTGCTCTATTACTTTCAGATTATCTTTAAGTGGGCAAAGTCTTTGTGAGGCATTAAGGCTGTCTTTAATCTCCCCCCTCCCCATCTCCCAGAACTTCAATGGCTGCTGTGCTATCTTGTCTGTTTTGGAGATGGCAGAGGCTTAGGGCCGCTCTTAGAAGGTGGTCTGCCGTGGCCACAGGATGCTGTGAGAACTGTGACACGAGGGGAGGGACAACAAACATGAGCTCAAATCTCCAAAGCGCACGGGGGGCCAAATAAAAGGATTTAGGTTGTCAGGGGGCACAGGAGCTGAAAGCTATCTTTCATTATCCTTTAGATGGCGGACCTTTGAAATGATCTGGACGTTTTAGCGCAGGGTTCTCGGAAGCACCAAGGAGGAACGGTCTCAGCAGAATGAGCTTATGGAAGTTCACATTTGGTTCCTCAATGACTAGAAGAATTTGTAAGGACAAGTTCAAAGTAACCATTGTTTCCAACAGATGGGGTGTTGTAACAAACGTGCCCCAATTTGTATGGTTACTCGAGCATCTAAATCAAGCTATGGCAATAATCAGGCTAATAACCAGAACGAGGGCCTTTATCCGAGTTTACATGTGTCAAAGTGCACCGACTCATGTTGGCACTCATCCAAAGACATGGACAGCAACGCTGTAGCATGGTACATTTGGTAACTACTGCACTGTTAAACGCAGTGAGTCTTGAGGCAATGATATTATCAGAAAACCACATCCAAGGTCTCATCACTTCTGAAAGACCGGCCCAGGCCGTTCGTAGCTCGACTAACCTGGGTGTCTTATGGGACATTCCCATCTGTACCGGGTCGGGTAGGCCCAGTCGGCCCCAGCCTGGCCCGGTTGATTCCACACATCCTTGTCTTAAGCCCATGTGGGCTGATTCTACCCACCAATCAGAGGCTTGCTCTAATGGAAGGTGTGAATTTGCTGTCAGCAGTGGGTGTGTTGGCCCTGGTCGGCCTGAAGCAGACCCCCTCCAGAAGAGGGCTGAGAATGAGCCTTGGTTGGGCCGGAAAAATACCAGGCCACCCAGATATGTAAACAACCTACGCTACCCGGCCCGGGCCGACCCGGTACAGATGGGAATGGCCCATTAGCTCCATTAGGATGGGGCCAGTTCAGCTCGACTTCAGCCAGACTGAGTGTATGCATGCAGTTTAAAGTCCAAATTTAGTCAGACTGCATGTAAACTCACAATGTGTGTGTGTGTGTGTGTGTGTGTGTGTGTGTGTGTGTGTGTGTGTGTGTGTGTGTGTGTGTGTGTGTGTGTGTGTGTGTGTGTGTGTGTGTGACTTACCCCCTGAAAGTCATGGTCATAGTCAGGAGCCATCATGTGTCAGAAGCACAGAGTTAAATACGTCAGGTCAGACAGCAAACACTACAGAACAACTTTTAAACTGTGTATTCAGACAAAACGATACTCACCGAGGTAAAATCCTGGTTTCAAAACAAGAATGGAATACAGAATTAAAGATTAGTGACGTCAAACACTGATTAAGGCTCCAGCAGGTTAAAACATCTGAAACATCTCCAATGAAGTACAAGCAGACTTTGGCTTTTCATGCTCTGGTCACATTTCTCACTACAGTTACAACTTTAGACACAACACCAACATCACTTGAGGTTCTCTCTGAGCTGCAACAACGCTTGAACAAGAAGAATGTTTAATCGTCGTCGTCGGGTTCCTCCGCTTATCGGGTCCGGGTCGCGGGGGCAGCATCCCAACTAGGGAGCTCCAGACCGTCCTCTCCCCGGCCACCTCCTCCAGCTCCTCCGGCAGGACCCCAAGGCGTTCCTCTCCAACGTGTCCTGAGTCGACCCGGGGGCCTCCTGCCGGCAGGACATGCTCGAAACACCTCCCTGGGGAGGCGTCCAGGAGGCATCCTGACCAGATGCCCAAACCACCTCAACTGATTCCTTTCGATCCGGAGGAGCAGCGGTTCTACTCGGAGTTTCTCCCGAATGTCCGAGCTCCTCACCCTATCTCTAAGGCTGAGCCCGGCCACCCTACGGAAGAAACTCATTTCGGCCGCTTGTATCCGCGATCTCATTCTTTCGGTCATTACCCAAAGCTCATGACCGTAGGTGAGGACTGGGACGTAGATCGACCGGTAAATCGAGAGCCTGGCTTTCTGGCTCAGCTCCCTCTTCACCACGACAGGTCGGCTCAGCGTCCGCATCACTGCAGACACCGAACCAATCCGCCTGTCGATCTCCAAATCCCTCCTACTCTCATTCGTGAACAAGACCCCGAGATACTTAAACTCCTCCACTTGAGGTAGGACCTCTCCCCCGACCCGGAGTTGGCAAGCCACCTCTTGTGTTGCAGGACTTTCGTGTCTTTAAGCGCACCAGGAACCAATCGGAGTTTAATTTCTGAGAGACAGAACAACATTTGCAAAGAAGCTTCCAAAATGTCTCAAAACATTTGCAAGCTTTCTCAATTTCCTCAAGATGCATGAAATTTTCATTTGCAGAATAAATATTTTCATTGCTGCATCTGCAGTGATGCGGGCGCTGTACCGGTCTCTCGATTTACTGGTTGACGTTCCTACCCTCGCCTATAGTCACGAGCTTTGGGTAGCGACCAAAATGGCAAGATGGTGGATACAAGTGGCCGAAACTGGTTTTCTGTGCAGGGTAGCTGGGCATACCCACACACACACACACACACACCCACCAGCAGGGAGTGGCATGCCAACTCTCAAGTTGCAAGTGTGGTATTCTGGCCACAGGGCAGTGGGGTCTGAGAAACATTTCACCAACCCTGTAAAGGGTAATTTTAGCAGATACTGGCTCAAGAAAATGATAATATGAAAAAGTTGCATAGTATCCCTTTAAAAATTGCTCGACATATTTTGTTTTACAGAAGAAAAAACAATATTGCAATAATTATCATTCCGGCACACTCTTCTGCTGATGTCACAATATAGATTTGAGGCCATATCGCCCATTCCCCGATGCAATGTTTGGGTTTACTTCTGTTACTTGCTTTAGCACAATTTTTGGTTGCAAGATTCCCTTTATGTTGCAAAGAGAACCAAATTATGCTAACAAAAGTTTCACTAAAGCTGAAAATATTTTTAAGAACAAATTCAAAAGACTGCTACCTTTTTATTTGCAAGCAACGGGTCCTGTGTTAGCAGCTGCAAGAGGTCAGGCACTCGGGCGCTGGCAGCCGAATAGATCCACTCTTTCTCTATGGGATCCAACTAGAACACAAACACACATCCTGTTGGGGACTCGTGATAAAGCTGAGGACACAAACCTCTAATCCGTTTCCTACCAGCTACAGAGCCAACTGACACGTTGTCGCCCATGATCACACTCCGTGGAGATCACAAGTTTTACTTTTATTGTTTGTTTAATGGGGACCAACACCACAGGCAAAGCGGACTGTATTTGCAAGACCCACCCCATAAAGGTCACGGTGCGTGTCAGAACCAAAAGTAAAGAAATGATAACTCTATGAACTTGACTCTTGAAGTGTTTTACCTCCTTGGCAAATATTAAGCATTGGGGAAAACAATGGAGAACGGCATTAGAAGGACTTACGGCGACGGCGGTGGAGCCCACGCTGCCGGTGCACTCCTCGTCATGCTCCGACTCGGACTGGAACACAAACAACACCAGCGTATTACTCAGTGGTGACAAAAAGGCAGAAAGGGTGACACAAGTCAACTGAAACAGATCAGTCTTAGATGTTCCCATTGCATGACAAAGGCAAACACACACACACACACACACACACACACTGCTGCGATGTCTTCCACCTGATGAGTTCCAACCAAAGGGTGTCAGACGGACCTGGAGGTAATGACGCAGTGAGACAGAGGCGACAGTTTCACACTTGAGTAACGAATACCAATCAAATTAACAATGAACTAAAAGGAAAATATGAAAATAATAAACACACCTGTCACAACTTTTGTTTAGAGAAAAATCAGTCAAACACAAAGTGGTGTCATTTCTCTCTTTATTCTCAACTCTTGTGACGAATTTGCAAATTGTTCTCAGATCACACAGATGCATGATGGGAAAAGAATCGGCCCTTTAACGTCCCTTAGCTAAACCACCACCTGTCAGCGTTTTGAACATGAAAAGTGGAGGCTCGCCGTTTATCCAGCCCGCTCCATCCACATGTCAACTCTGGTAGGGACCAATAAAAACATGCAGAGGAAACAAAACAACATTAGTGGTCACGAAGGGAAGGAGGGAGGCTGAAGTCTTCCATTCCCAGCACATTTATTTATATACGTGGAATCAGTCGATGGTTACAGGCAGCTATAAATCTGACTTTGATAAATCCATCCTGTACATGGCGATAAAAACAAATCAATTCAGCCGCAATAGTTCAAATTCTAAATAAACCACTGCCAGGAAATGATTCGTTCTGATTGACAGGCAGCAGTAGCTCAACAGGTAGAGCGGGTTGTCCAGTATTCGGAAGGTTGCAGGTTCGATCCCGGCTCCGGACAGAGAATTCTGCTGTTGTGTCCTTGGGCAAGACACTTAACCCACCTTGCCTGCTGGTGGTGGTCGGAGGGACTGATGGCGCCAGTGCTCGGCAGCCTCGCCTCTGTCAGTGCGCCCCAGGGCAGCTGTGGCTACATCGTAGCTCATCACCATCAGTGTGTGAATGTGTGTGTGAATGGATGAATGATACACTGTAGTGTAAAGCGCTTTGGAGTCCTTACTCTGAGAGGCGCTATACAAGTGCGGGTCATTTATCATTTATCATCATTCAGATGAAATCAGAAAGCTACAAATACTTACACAATGACATAAACGAGTGGGATTGGATAAATCTAGAATTCAACACTTTATACATTTTACATCATTTTTTAAAGCGATTCAGTGAGAGGTATAAATATAAATGACCTCTCATGAAGGTTTCTACTTTTAGATGCTTTCTTTTATGTTTACCAACAACAAGGGAATGTCTAGCTCTCAACTATCAGATCTGGGTCCTGGTCAAAGTTGGTGGTGTTGTCTTTTTGCAGTAAATCGGTAACGCTCTGCTGGAGCGAAGGAATGGTTTTCCTCAGGAGCAAAAGTGGGTTCAAAACTTTCAACAGCCAATAAAAATATTGTTCAAATCTTTAAGTTAGTCTCAAGTTTACTGCGCTGAATCAAAATACTAAACACGGTAAATAGAGCTACCTTCAACAGAAGTCATGAACACCATTGAAGGGTTTATTAAACCTGTCCGATACCTCTAGCTGGTGTTTATTGATCCTGGTTGTGTCACCCATTGGAAGTTGTGTGTAACAAATAAATAAATCAGAGATTATTATTATGCAGTGACCGCATTTTAAATTGTGTCATTAAAATAGTAATAAGACGTCTTCATGAGAGGGATGTAAACACACACACACACACACACACACACACACACACACACACACACACACACACACACACACACACACACACACACACACACACACACACACACACACACACACACACACACACACACACACACACACACACACACGCTTTACATTGAATTACTTCACAGGACTAATGGCATGTAGTCCGTTAGTCTAAAAATATAAAATAACTCAACACAAGTAGAAAATTGAGACTCAGCATCATCAGATGCTTCATAGCATAAAAATAACAAAAATAATAATTTTACACACAACTTTATTTTGGGTTATTATAATGTCATAAATCCAACAAACCATTCAAGTATTTATTATACAAAAGTTTTTTTTTTTGTATGCTGGTTTTTTGACCTTGTTGTGATTCCACTTTGCTACCGTTACACCAAACGTTCCCCACCGAGGGACAATAAAAGGTATTTTCTATTCTAAATCTAAATCCCACCGGTTTAATACTCTCAGTTCTGGCCCGTGTTTATCCAATTAATGATAAATAATCACACTCTTTAAGGCTCAGTCAGAATAAATAACCTCACAACAGCAGGCCTTGAGAACACGCACCTGTGTTGAGTTGCTAGTGATTTAGGTGCTGCATTAGCAAACAGAAACAGGTTTTCTTTATCCACCGTAGAGGTCAGAGGTCATCTGAGGGAGAAAACTTTTTCTGAGATGAATCCTCATTTATTTAATAGGCACAAATGGCAATTATCATTGTAATAAGGCCCATCATGTATCTGTTTAACATAACAGTCATTTATTTAAATGCAACCCCACCCTCTCCAACATGCAGGAGGTTCCAGTTCCAGGTCACTTCCTTGGCACCATCTGGTGGGTTAAAGGAGCAACCACCAGAGTGAGAAGACATCAACAAACACACTTCAGTAATTAGGGGGGACTTTTGATGGAAAAACACACAAATTTTTACTTAGTTTATTTATCTGATAATCATTAACAATAATGATGATGATGATGCTTATCAGCCACTGTCAGTCAAGTCAGGGTCATACTTGTATTTTATTATAGTCATAATCTTAATAATACTTGGTCTTGTGCATTAAAGCGACAGTGTGTATTTTCCCTGGCGATAGGGGGCAGTACATGCCTAAATCATTGCATGCATGTAGAATTTTTGTGTTTGTATAAGACCTTACCAACGGATGGCCATTAGGGTCAGAAATCCCTGAGAGGGATGAAGAAGTAATTGATCAGATGTTTCAGCCTCCAGCAAAACAACAAGCACATCAGACTCGCTTTCATCACTGGCAACGAGTGAAGAGGTGATTGTGTGAAACAACGTTCATGAATGACGAAGGTCAGGTAGCCGCTTTTTACTAATCAGTACATGGTTTTTGTCCTCACGGGCTCCCGTAGAAGGAAACATGGCATCTAACATGGCACCGCCCAGAGACTTAGACCCACTCCCATGTATTTCAGACCCGATTTTTATGGTTTTACGTTACAAACCCGCCAGCAACTGGGCATCATTTCATTCATTTTCAACAACTTTTAGGTGGATTTTTCCAGAGATCAACAGTAAAAACTACACATTGAAACTTTAACACAAGCTCTTGTGTAATCTGTTAACTCTTGGATTGAATGTTAAGCCTGGTTTATGCTTCTCCGTCAGCTCCGCAAGGGACAGACACGCACGGATTGACGGAAGTGTTTTGCTCTCATACTTCTCCGTCTCCTGGAGAGTGTTGCAAAGCAATTCCCCGCCAGGACAACAGAGGGCGTAGCGCTGTTCTGTGGTATCCTGTCATGTATCGGTCCAAGATCGTGTGTTTACATTGTGTTTTTTGTGTATATAAGAGACTTTTAACACGGACTTATTTGTCTCTCATCCTCCCACCGCTTCATGCGCTCCCCACCTCTAAACCAACGTTTCCTGTCATTTCCATCCACAAATAAAACGCTTGCTGGGCATCTTTTCACTCCTCCAGTCACGGGAGAATGAAACGTTCATATTTTTAGAGTTTTGTCGCGAGGTATTCTTCAAGCTTCTCCGTGTCCGCCGCTAGTTATCCTCGGCTGTCTTTGCAATGGCGGCGCTGTAAACAACAGCGGCATCCTGACCAATCACAAGCTTGCGTAATCCGTTTCGTTCGACGGATGTTTAAAAAAGTGGGCTCGACTCCGTACGTACTTGCGTGCCTGCCGGATCCCTACGCAAGGACGGATAATGGCGTTGCGTGTCTCCGCACTGACGCAGACGGAGAAGCATAAATCAGGCTTTAGGGATGATCGTCCCTAATCCTAAACCTACAACCCCATCAAGTCATAGCTCGGGATTTAAAGGAAGACTGATTAAAAAAAGGTATGTTTGCATTTTCTAAAGATGGTTATCTGTGGCTGTGAGAGGTTAGGGTAACTTTCCTGTTCAGTTCCTGACTGAAACTACGGTTAGAGAACGGTTTGTAGAGCGAGACTTCCTGGTTTACAAATTGAGTTCTGACAGGAAATAATTAAATAACGTTCGTTTAACTTTTTTAAGAGAATGCAAGTCTTCAAACTTTGGCTACATTCCTAAGGGATGCACCAAACCAGCATCAGGTCTGTTAGAATCTCCTCACATGAATTCATACTCGTGAAGTTCAGGTACTGAAGAACCGTTACCAGTAAGCTCTGGAGCAGCAGGAGGAGATGGTGGGGGGTGCTGGATTAGGCACACTGTAGTATAGGACTAATACTTCAGTCACAGCTGATCAGCGCTACCACCCAAAAGCAGATGTGTTGCCTTTGAATCCAGATCAAACATGAATGATCAGAAAATTCCAGAACCAAAATAATATGTACGTTGAAACGTTATATAGCTGGACAGTTTTTTTCATTATACCCTTTTGGGTAGACTACAGCCATTACTTATTCCCAACCAATTACTAATGCAGACGCAGTCATGCTCAGTCACCAAGGCCGTCGGTGCAAAAAGTGTGTATGCAGTGTATGCGACGCATAGGGACGCCAGGCTGGAGGAAGCGCCAAAACGATGATGCTGTGGTGGTTGGTTGGTGTGTTAACTCCTCTTCTCACACGAGAAGGGTATATTCTACTACCAAAGAAAACGCAAGTACATGCTTTTATTGTGAAGGCCAGTTGTCAAGGAGATACATCAGTTGGGAGTCGAGGTGTGAATAAAGTGTTGTTTTTGGTAACGAATACCTCCTCTGATCCTTCATCCACCTGCCAACTCCTACATTGGCGACCCCGACGTCGTCCAACCTAGAAGGAATCTGCTGTTCGTTCAGCCGCTGAAGGGGAAATGCTACCGGCTGCAGCAGCTGTTTCCCCTGCCGTCTTCGCGGCATCTATCAAGCTACGGGATTTTTGGCAACACGACCCAGAACCTTGGTTCCAACATGTTGAGGCTCAATTCCACCTCTGGGGGGGATCACTTCGAATGATACGAAATACTTCCATGTGGTCGCCGCACTGGACGCTGGTTCTACCCGCCGTTTAATGGGGCTGTTGCGGCCGCCTCCGATCATGCCGTGAGCTTCTATGCACCAATTATTATATCAGAATAAACAAGTTGAGCATGCGCAGTTTTCTTTCCCGGAAAAAATATGTAAACAAACGTCATGAAATGAAATAAAAAAATGTAAAAATAGAAAAAACAATCTTCCTGCTTTCGTGATTCCTTTAATCAATTGAATGTTTTTATTTTGCTCAGTAACTGCAGATATACACTTTATTATTATTGTATCCTTATTATGACAATCAGCTGAAACTGCTGAGAAAAAACTGGTTCAAACTAAATAACAGGAGATGTTCAGAAAGTCTGGAAGATCGTGTTCGTCACGCGTTAAACGAACCGCATCTCATCTCATCTACGTTAACATGTTTTTACACAGTCGCCCATAACATTTAACTGAGGATGTTTTTCTACTCAACATCAGCCTCCTTAAACCCAATCAGGTCTGTCTAACCCAGGGGTGTCAAACATGCGGCCCGCGGGCCGGATCCGGCCCGCAAGCCAGTTAAATCCGGCCCGCGAGATGGTTGTGTAAACTTTATTTTCATACTTTACAGTGTAGAGTGAAAATAAACTTATCTTTGTGAGCAAGTTTTCTCTGTAATGAGTATAAATAAAATAAAGCTGCGCTCAAGGCTCACACAAGAACTTGAATCACTTCCTGAAGATGGCCGCCACTCAGGATGTGACTTCTGATATTGATGTGCTGGTGAAAGCTAAAAGATGTAAAGTAAAATGAGTCAAATATACTTTAAGTGCTGCATGAAACTGATCTAGCCATGTGATCTGTAAGCTCTTTGAATCACTAAGGAATGTTTATTTATTTATTTATTCACATTTTCAAGTACACTTCAGGTGTTGTACTTGTACTACACTGTCCTCAGGCTCCAGCCTTGTTTTATATTGATTGTATTAAAACAAAGAAAACAATCTGATTTTTTTAATTTTTTTTTTTACCGGTCCGGCCCACTTGGGACTAGATTTCCCTCAATGTGGCCCCTGAGCTAAAATGAGTTTGACACCCCTGATCTAACCGGTGTTACCCTGTCGAGCACGTCTCCATCCACCTGCTGCAGAAACAGCTGCCGCGTTCACAGAAACGGGGATCCGTGCTGCAAACCCAAAATGAATCTGGGTGTTTCCAGTAAAGACTTGAATACGTTTGTCGAACGATGTGTGCAATAATTAGATTTTTATTTTACTTCCACAAAATGCAAGTTCTGGACTAGAGATTACTGAAACGGGGACGACTTACCATCATATTTAAAAGTTGGCGCTCGTTAATGAGGCCGTTGTTTATTTAAGTCAGGCAGTTGAGGCTCGCTAGCTGTTGCACACATGTGCAGTGGGCATTATTTTCCTGCTACAATTTGAGTGGCTGTGTACGTGCACGCCAATCGGAATGAGGATCGGACAAAACCACCTCTCTCAATCGGATTGAAATTTCATTTCGATCGGGCCGAATCGGATCAGAACATTGCGATTGACATGTTTACATGCAGAATTTTTGATCCGATTACACGTTCAATCCGATTAAATGTGCACTTGTAAACGTGGCTGATGAGAGTTAACGTGATGAGCAGCTCCTGTCTAACGAGCTGCTCATCACATCATACACTGTCTGTGTATGACTGTATATGTCAGGTGGGGTCTTGGACTCCTCCCCTCTCCTGGGACTTCTTGTGCTGCTACACATCTTTGCCTGCCCTCCCCCTTCCACACCTGTTGTGGAGTGTGGTGCCTTGGTCTGCCTGAGTGTTTGCCGCTCTCGGGTCAGGGGGTTTAAGATTTTTGGAGTCTGCCTGATTGATCCCAGTGGCTGCCTGATGGGATCTGAGTCCCTGGGCTCTGTTGGGTCCCCGGCGAGACTGGTCGCCCCTGGGTCCCGGGTCACCGGGTTCCGCCTTGCTGGTACAAGGTCACTTTAAAAAGTTTCAGTAGGTCACCAGCATGGTACGCTTCGAGTATTTACAAATCTGACAAAAAAAACAAACAGCTGTTTGCAAACTTTGATGAAAACAAAGTCTGGCAACAAAGTCAGTTTTTTTTTTTTTTTACCATCTGAAGCTTAATTTATACTTCTCCGTGTTCCGCAAGGGAGAGACGCACAGAGACATTTTATTTTCAGACTTCTCCGTCTCTTGGGGAGTGTTGCAAAGCATTTCCCCGCCAGAACAACAGAGGGCGCCGCGCTGTTCTGGGGTACCCAGCCATCATCATGTATCCGGATCACGACAGTTGTGTTTACATCGTTTTAACGTACGTCAGAGACTTTTTAACACGGACCAATTTGATCCCTCATTCCCCTCCACCTCTTCCTGCAGTCGACACCTCTAAACTCACGTTTCTCATCATTTCCGTCCACGAATAAAATACTTGCTGTGCATCTTTGTACTCCTTCAGTCGCGGGTGGTTAAACGTTCATATTTTTGGACCATCGGGGAAACAGGGAAACATCTAAAACATGCTGGAAACCGGCCCTCCAGGACCAGGATTGAGAGCCCCTGTGCTAAGCTGAAGGGTTAGTGGATTTCTGCCTACAGGTTTGTTTTGTTCATCTTTCAGTCTGACCTACCTAGAAGAGAAACGGTGGCTCAGGGGTTAAAGCTTTGCCTTGTTAATCCAAAGGGTTGGTAATTGGAACCCGTGTCAGCTGTTGTGTCCTTGGGCAAGGCACTTAACCCTCCATACCGGCTGGCGGTGGACAGAGGGACCGGTGGTGTCTGTCTTTGGCATCGTTGCTTCGGTCAGTGCGCCCCAGGGCAGCTGTGGCTATGATGTAGCTCATCACCGCCAGCATGATGGAAGCACCTTGGAGTGCTATATAAACATGCAAGTGTTCTATTCCCATCCAAAGACCCCATTTAATGCATTTTCATTAAAACGTTCACGTTTAAGATTGTGGTTGCCAACTTTCAATGATGTCACTCTCATCTTCTCACTCGATTTCCTTTTTGAGTCTTACAAACTTTCATCTACGGTTAAAAACAGAAGTTGGGATTTAGGGGATTATTTTCAGATGAGGGGATGTTAATCAGATCTGACTAACTGAAGCAAATTCTCCTGGTTTTAACTTAGGATTATTTTAGAAAACACTTTGAGTAAATTAAAGTTCTGTTTGACTCAGGTTCTGTAGGACATTTACCACTCAGGCTGGACGAGGTAGACTAAAGCCCCATTCCCACCTGTACCGGGTCGGCCCGGGCCGGGTAGCGTAGGTTGTTTGCATATCTGGGTGGTCTGGTATTTTTCCGGGCCAACCAAGGCTCATTCTCAGCCCTCTTCTCGAGGGGGTCTGCTTCAGGCCGACCAGGACCAACACACCCACTGCTGACAGCAAATTCACACCTTCCATTAGAGCAAGCCTCTGATTGGTGGGTAGAATCAGCCCACATGGGCTTAAGGCAAGGATGTGTGGAATCAACCGGGCCAGGCTGGGGCCGACTGGGGCTACCCGGCCCGGGCCGACCCGGTACAGATGGGAATGGCCCATAATAATGCCTTTTATTTTTATGTCACTCTGTAAAGATACCAGCCGACGAGTGTCACGGATTAAGTCCAAAGACTCGCAGTAAACAAGTCTAAATGACAAGAAAACCAACCAAGCTGTTAATAAGAGCTTTTCTAGGAAATACTATTTTAACTTTGTTCTCAACATAGTATTGTTTTTACATGAAGCTACGCTTGCTCCCTTCAGTTATTTTTTCTAATATGAATTAACAGAATGATGAACTCAGAGCTCACAGCTTCTAAAGCTTTGATTCCAGGTTTACGGAATCACAAGTGCTTTTAGGGTGAACACTTTCCTTTCCTGTTCTTGGATCGACCACGGCTAACTGGCTTTGGCGCTCCTGCTCGGTGGTTTTCTGTGCAAACATTCATCCGTGAAGAAAAGGCCCAAACAAAGAGAGTCTTGTTTAGCATCAGTGCATCCCTCTCATGAAGAACACGCAGCACAGCTGCAACGGCCGACTCAGAACATTTCAGCGCCCAGATATTCTACCGAGGTCAACCCTAACCTCACCTCTGCATCAGGCTCTCCACAAGCCATGGGCTCATCCTGCTGTTCCTTCAGGTGGGGGGATGCGGTCGGGGGGTCCGTTGTCTCCCAATGAGCAGTGGCTGACGTTCTGGCCAGGCTCAGATGGTTCTGCTGCTCTCCGTCTGTCCCACGATGGTTGTTTTGCCTCTCCTGCAGGAGGTGCCTGTACTTCTTCTTTAGAATGAGGTACTTCTCACCCTGTGATGGACAGGAACACACTTTACTCAACTTTCAATTCAAAATTCTGTCTGGAGACCATCTAAGAGCGTTCCTCACACCAACTCCACTGTAGCCTGCAGCTAGTAGTCATCCACTTTCTTAGATAGCTTTTCCTGCTCGACTCCGCTGTCGGCCTGGGGCGGTAGTTTACACACATCAATGGTGCGTTTGCATTTGGACGATGTTTTAATCACACGGTACTTTAGTAACAGGAATGTTTATCTTTACAAATGATGTTTCATCAACTCTGGAGGAGATGTAATAAGAAAATGTGCGTGTAAAAGAGCGGTAACGTTCTGGTTATTTTAACAGATATAAACTGGAGAAAAGATTGTATAGCGATTCATATTTTACTGCAGAGTCTTCAGATTACATCAGAGTTTAGATTTGAGGACATATCATCCATCCCTACTTTTCTTATGTTTGACATCCAATCAAATGTGTCAGAGAGACAATTCAAAAACCAACAAAAACTCATAAAAATCTCATAAAAGTTTTGAGGAACCATGGTGTTTCAGCTAGCTTAATTGGCCTGAATAAAAAACTGGTTTGAGATATAATAAACTTTTTTTGTTGTGTTAATTTAAAAAAAATCCTGAATAAAAACTTAAAGTGACTATGTGTATTTTCCCTGGCAATAAGGGGCAGTACACAGCTAAATCATTGCAAGTAAGCAGTAATTTTGTGTTTGAGTAAGACCTAACCAACGGATGGCCATTGGGGTCAAAAAGCCCTGTGTGTGCAACCTCCAGCAAATTGACAAGAACATCAGATTCCCTTTCATCACTGGCAGTGAGTGAAGAGGGGAATGTGTAAAACAACAAAGTTTATTAACGGTGAAAGTTTTGTAACCATTTGTTACAAATTAGTAAATATGCTTTGTCCTCATGGGCTTCCGTAGAAGGAAACATGGCATCCAATATATGGCATCATGCAGAGACTTAGGGTGTTTCTCAATGCCAAGGAACCTCGCCTTGATGTCTTGGCCCCGCCCCGGTTGCCTAGGAGATGCATCATCAGGAACCACCAAGACGTGTTCCAATGTTCATGTTCTACCGAGGCGTGTGTTGTCCGTTTGTTAGCCGTTTAGCTAGCCGAGCAAGCCAGCAACTACTTCGGTGGCAAATTTCAAGTTTATAGGTAAGTCAATTAATTTAAAATGTTTTTTTTTTAGATCCAAAGAAGTTATCTACGGTTGGTTAGTTGCTGAGTAGTTGCAGCTTGGGTGGCTAGCGGGTACTAACTCACTTATATTTTCTATATTTAGTTTAACAAATTCAATTCAATTCAATGCAACTTTATTTATAAAGCGCCAAATCACGACGAGTCGTCTCAAGGAACTTCACACAGTAAACATTCCAATACAGGTCAGGTCATTAAGCCAATTAGTAACAAGTTTCCTATATAAGGAACCCAGCAGGTTGCATCAAGTCACTGACTAGTGTCTGAGTCTTTACAGCAATCCTCATACTAAGCAAGCATGCAGCGACAGTGGAGAGGAAAACTCCATTTTAACAGGAAGAAACCTCCAGAGGATCCTGGCTCAGTATAAGCAGCCATCCTCCACGATGTACACAATTTAAAAAGTAAAAAGCTTGTTATATATTTATATAGTGAAACTTATACATATAAAATATAACGTCATCTCCCGTGTCACGTGACGTTACGTGACCGCCGTGGAATCAGCGGTCACGTGATGCAAGTCTGATCCATTTAACTGTTTTTTTTTTTTTTTTTTTTTTTACCAAGGAAGGCACCTAGCCTCGCAAGACATCGGCTCACAAGGCCAGGCGCCTTAGCATCGAGAAACACCCTTAGACCCGCTTCCATGTATTTTAGAACAGATTATGGTTATACGTTATGAAACCGCCAATATTTTTCAACACCTGGGCTTCATTTAATTTCATTCATTTACAACATTTTGATGGATATTTCCAGGGATTAAAGGTAAAAAAAAAACTACACTCTCTGACTTTAAAACCTAGAAAATAAAATGTTTTGGACCAACTGTTCTTCAGAAACAAATTTTTTATATATTTTTTTAAATGGAAAAAAAAGGAAGACTCCATAAAAAATGAAATAATGAAACAGCAGCTGGAGTCTCTGTGGGCACAGCTAGTTAAAACAGCAGCTACGTAGATCTGCTTCCACTTCAGTTTGACTCAAACGTTTTTACTAAAAACTCTTTCAGGCCACAACTTTTCCCACATAAGGTAAAAATATTCACCAGTTCACTCACGTTCTCTGACTTGACCACAGCGATGCGGTCGATGACGAGTTTGAATTCCTCTCTGTATTTAGCTGCAAAGAAAAAGGTTTTAGATGAAAAACTGGAGCAAAGGAACAGATTTTGAAGTTTGGAGTTAAGCAGGCAGACATCCTAAAAACAGAAGCTAATCACACTTACGACCTCTGCTCTGAGGAGTAACCTAAACAGAGGGGAAGTATTTCCTCTCCACAGTAAACAGCCCTCTGAATGTTTGTCCTGAGGCAAAAAGCGCCACTTCCACATCCTCTAGGATGTTTGGGTTGAAAAGATTTGATCGGGTTTGACCTCTGTTTTGTGCAGAACGTGTGATCCCAGTGCAACACTTTCCAGACGTTGGTATTCCACACATATCTGTGATGTGCAAGCACTTCCAGCTCAGGATAAATAAAGCATTTCCTTTTCCTGATGTGCACGGAAAGAATGCTCAGTGAAACCGTTACGAAGCTCACACAACAGGAAACCAAGAGGAAACAGCTGCTTTCATGTGTCTCAACTGAAGAATTCCCTGTTAGCAGAGAATCCAAGCTAGTTATTTATTAGCTAAATGATTACACAAACACACTCCTCCCCCATGTCCCACTTTTGTGCTCTGATAAAAAAAAAGGCCCCCACCCATTAGAAGCTTACATGTAGTCATCCATGAGGACTTCATGATTAAATCACTATCATTACAACAACCACATGTTATGGCAGACCTGAAATGTGTGGGAGGCACTTTTCTAATTGGACGGCCATGTCAGATGGCAGAACATCAAGGCAGCTCCCGAAACCTCTGTCCACATCTGCACCGCTGACAGAGCATCTGGACAGCTCAAGCTGCTGGTACAAGGTCACTTTGGATAATCAGTTAAGGAGGATAAAACACAGAAACACAGCATGTCAGCATCACAGCCAGAGCCACGAGTACAGTAGGATCTGCTGAACCACCTCTGCTGTTGGAGAAAACCAATAAATCAGGTGTGTGTGTGTGTGTGTGTGTGTGTGTGCGTGCATGCGTGTGTGTGTGTGTGTGTTTAGTTTTAGTTGCTTGGACAGTACTTTTTCTGATCAAAAGTGAGTTTTTCTCTCCAGTGCCACCCAGTTCCCTATGCTTGCTCAAGATGGAGGCTCCTTATATCAGTAGTGTCCACTCCTGGTCCTGGGAGGCCAAGTGATTGACGGGCTTCTAGGGCTGAGTACCTCTAGATATTTGCCATACTCATCTCTTGGTACCTATATTTCTGTGAGGACCAGTCATGTCCCCAGAGGACTGCTATGCATCAATCCAACCCCTTAGAGCTGAGTGTCAAGCACGGAGGCATTAGGTCCCATTATTAAAGTCTTTTGTATGACCCAAGCGGGATTTGAACTCCGACCTCCTAGTCCCAGGCCGGACACTCTACCACTAAGCCACTGAGCTGGTTGAGACCGGTAAAACACCCACGCATCCCTGCAGATGCAGGTCCTTAAACTTCTCCACATGGGACAGGACCTCGTTTCTGACCTGATCTGACCTGCAGATTTCTATTCCAGCTTTAATGCACCATTGACAAGGTGCAATTAAAAAATCTTTCCAATTTCTGAGCTCACGATCACTATAAGGGCCAATTCACACAAGCAGAAAATAATGTTTTTTAACTCGACAAATTACAATTATCAATTGACTAAGGAAAAAACTTTAAAAAGAAAATCATAAATCATTATTATATTGAGATGAACTGGAATTAACCAAATTTGCCATCATCAGGTTCAGATGTGAAAAACTAGTTTCAGCCCTTAAAACCACAATTGGTGCATTTCTGATACAATTATCACATAACTCAGAAATATGTGGCAGAACAGAAAGTCCATCCATCCATCCATCCATGGTCTTGAGTCGGAAAAGGGTAGAATGCCGTCTCTGGGTCAGGGATGAGGTCCTGCCCCAGGAGGAGGAGTTTAAGTATCTCGGGTCTTGCGTAGGAGCGAAGGAAAGATGGAGCGTGAGCTTAATAGCTGCGTTTGCAGTGATGTAGGTGCTGTACCGGTCTGTCGTGGTGAAGAGAGAGCTGAGCCAGAAGGCGAAGCTCTCGATTTACCGGTTAATATGTTCCTACCCTCACCTATGGTCACGAGCTTTGGGCAGTGACTGAAAGGACAAGATTACGAATACAAGCAGCCAAATGAGTTTTCTCCGCAGGGTGGCTGGGCTCTCCCTTAAGCTGTTTCTATAGGACCGTAGCGTCTGCAAAACGGGATTTGCCGCGGCTCCCTGGGGAGGATTTTGGCATTTATAGTAGAGTAGAAGGAGGCCGCTCGTCTGGGAAAGGTTCTGGATCAAAAAGTGGAATAAACAAAATAAGAATCCGCACACTTCAATCTGCAATGTAGGAGTTTATTGGTCAAGCTTTCGTTCAGAGACCTTCATCAGGAGAGGTTTGTACATTGCAAAACATCAAGCTAAAAAAGCCATCATACAGCAAGGCAGAGAAGTGTAAAACGCAGCAGTGTATGCTATCTTTAAAGAAACACAGACATCTCAAAGTCCTCATTTAAACCTAGTGGTTGAAGTGTTTTCAACGTGTAAATCCAGAACAATTCCCTTTGGCAGAGTTTTTTATCTATATCACCTCCTCTCTGTAGTAAAATATGTTCAATCCCCTGGAATCTGAGTGAAGAGGTGGCTCAGGCAGGGGTGGCGTTAGGCCCGGCTATTTGGGCTCAAGCCCTGAATGTTTTATGAAAAGGCCCGGATCTAAAACATGGAGGTAAGATGCAGTACCAAAGTCCAACAGAGAGGGCGCAGCTGGCAGTAGTTTGTATACAGCCTGCCTGAGCCTCCACCACTGAAGAAGCCCTTCAGCAGCCGGTGTCGGTACAAGATCTGCTCAGGTGCAAGATCGGCTCGGGGTCCTTCGACTGCCGATGACGTCAAAGTACGGCAAACCCACTCGGACAAAATACACCACACATCTATACTGTTGGAAAGAATTTAGCAGTTTCGTTATTAAAATAATGTTTCTAAAGATGTAAGTTTGTGTTTATAATGGTATTTGTAAAATAAAACACTATATTGTATTCATAATGTTGAACTCCTCTTTGGGCACATCCCTTGAAGGATCATAGGTATTAGCAACACCTGTGAAATTGTATTTGCAGGAAAGAAGTGTGTCCCGTTTATTGAAGTATTTTGTGTTTAGAGTTTTTGACGTCTTGTCCATGCGTAGTTCAGTTACGCTCATAGCTGCTAGCCAAAACTCTGGAGTTAAAAGTTTTCTGGCTTTACTAAAATACCTGTCTGTGCTTATTTGATTGATGGTAGTTTTACTTTCTATTAGACTCCAAATTAGGGCTGCAACAAACGATTATTTGTATAATCGATTAATCGGATGGGGTCTCGACACGATTAATCGATTAATCGGATTACATGGGGAAATTTTTAAAAACTGCTAGGGAAACGTTATTTCTCTCCTTCCTTCACTTTATTTAACACAACATTATTATAAAACAGTTCAATAGCAGAAAAACAACATGCCATCACCTAAATTGTCTTATAAGGTGCATAGACAGAGACCCTAAGCTACATCTATCTGTGACCTAAAATGCTTTGTCCAAGTTAAACAGCTTAAGGGCAATTCTCATCTGTTTTGTTTGATCTCATCTGTTGACATTTATTTTAAATGTAATTAAACATAGGCTGTGAATTAATCAAAATTGATCACTATTTCCAAAAATGACTGAAAAAATACCAAATAAAACAAAAGTAAATGAATGCCATCCTCCTTGCGATGATGCCCTGGGCAACTGCCATAAAGTCACATCAAGAAATGCTGCTGATCATTCCAATGATCCCAAATAGACTCACATTAGGCCACATGAAAGCAACTGAACCCAAAAATATATTAACCAGTATATAACTGCACTCTCACACAACACGCCTGCAGCAACAGTTAGGACTCCTCCCTCCCTTTTAAAAGTGTTTTTGCTTCCGAGGACATTGTGGTTGTAAAACCACATGCTAGTGGTCTGGCCCCGGTGTGATCAACCAGTTTCTGCGGGAATGTGACGGCGGAACCAGGGCCAGATTAACACTTTGTTGTACCCTGGGCAACAATATTCAAGGGCTCCATCATCATGACCCAAGGATCACCATAATGTGGTCACATACAGAATATTTTACTGTAATATGCAGTAAATATACTCAATACTTGAATGCCTGACAACACGTAACCCGCCCAGAGTAACCTTTGACCCACCTCGTGTGGACTGACCAATCAGGAGAGGGTCTTAACTTGAGGCCCTCTCTTCATTGGTCAGTCTGCATGAGACTGACTCTCAACTGACGTTCAGTCGTAGGCAGCGAAGCGTCTCTCTGCAGCGCAAAAGCCCGGGTGGACAGTTTGTTTAATATAGGGTGACCATATTTCCATTTCCAAACAAGAGGACAGGGGATCTGTGCCTATGACGTCACACTATGGCAACGCCACACAACCATGTTGGGACCCATTTTTTGTAAGAACTAAATTAATATCAGATTCTGCCAATTAAAGGGCTCTAAAACAATTCATATGTAAATATTTTGCATATTTAATGCAAAATCTAATTTTTCTGCTTTAGTGCTGCAACAAGGTTTTATTAATAATAAATTATTATACCTTTTGTTTTACTACAGCATCGGTAAGCTTCCTGTGCACAGATTATTAAGGATGCTTGTTTCAGCTGTGAGATTAGACGATAGGATCAATGAAAAAATAAGTTGTCGCACACTCCATGGAAACTTTCAGAGAATCCACAAATAGTGGCTTTCAAATGGTTTTGTTACTTTTTGCAAGTTAAGAAAAGCAGCAGATGAGACAGCATGTCTGATAATTTAGTTTTTCATCTGATAATATTAGAACATGTCAGTAATGTCTGAGGGGCTTTTATAAACACTGTATAACTAACACTACTGGAGAGGGCATGAATTACACAGAGGCTTCTGGGGAGCCCAGTTATTGGGGGGGGGGGCATTTTGCCTTGGCCCCCAACATGTCTTGAAACGGCCCTGGGTGTGTGACTGAGTTTTGAAGGTGATCTGAATTGTATCAGATGTATAAATATGACATGTGTATAACTTATTGTTTTTTACTGGTAAAAACGTGTAGTGGAGGTAAATCTACCTACATTTGACTTTTCAACACTTTGTTTTGTTTTCTTGTTTTTATTTAACTATTTTCCTGTCCTGCCTCTCATCTTCCTGCATCTCCTCTTAATTCTCCAGAAAATCTGCTGCCTGGATTCTTACCTTTTCACCTCATCAGTTACTTTTGAGCAGATCAAAGATCTCCTGACCGAAAAGCGCAGAGCGCGTTTTCGATGCTGCGTGAGGTGACATCACCACAGCACAGGTGATGAGCTCCGCAGTAGCGAGCTTCAGGCACAAATAAGACAGAAAATAGAGAACATGTGAGGACATGAACGATCGTGTGCTAATTATAGTTTTTTGGTTGCGCCACTTTGAGAATGTGCGCTGGAAGCAGCTGCCTGGATCGTTGCGCAACAATGCGGAACCGGTTCGCAGCAGCGCAAGTCTGCCGGCTCTCCCTCGCGCTGATCTGCCGGTACCGGCTCTCCCTCACGCTGATCTGCGGCTCTCCCTCGCGCTGATCTGCCGGCTCTCCCTCGCGCTGATCTGCGGCTCTCCCTCGCGCTGATCTGCGGCTCTCCCTCGCGCTGATCTGACTTGCTCTGGTCTGCGCGCAACGGCGGGCGGGAAGGGGGGGCGCTTTTGGAAGAGTTGTGCGACACAACGAATCGATGACGCAATTCGTTGCCAACGCTTTTAGTAATCGATTTTCATCGAATTTATCGATTCGTTGTTGCAGCCCTACTCCAAATGTAATCATTTGGCACGTTTCTAATTCATAATTTGTAAGAATGTAATCGGTGATATTAGCATTAGCGTTCCTATGGGTTTTTCCATGTATATTAGCATTGCGCTAACCACTCGCTGCCAAATTGCGGCCTTTGCGATTAGAAAATCTCCTTTTGTCACATCGCAATTTAATTGCACATGCAGTTAATCGTTCAGCTCTAATATACATGCAGCTCTATGCTAAAGGTGTATTTTCAAAGAGGTAATGATGGATTTCTTTGTAAAAGTTGTCCATCTTTCCAACAGAAAGATTTGCCTGGACCAACGTAACGTGATAACAACGTAACGTGATTACGTAACTCCGTAAGGTTCATGTTCAGCCAATCAACTACTTAGACGTCATCAGCAGTCGACAGACCCCGAGCCGATCTTGCACCCGAGCAGATCTTGTACCGACACCGGCTTCTTCTACACTCTGCCTGAAACGCATGAGTGAAGATGGACATAAGGACGTTTTTAGACCAAAAGTACAACGACAGAACCCCAGCTCTGATGAGACTGGTGTTGACTCAGGTTTGTGAGTCTTATTAGAAAATATTTGTTGTGCTGCTGGTTTGCCTAAAGTTAGCTTATCAGGTAAAGTTGTTGGAGAAAGAACGGGAATATTTACTATCATCTCACACTAAACACTAACAGGAACAATACTCTGCCCTGAATATGTGGTACAAGACAAATATATATGATGTTGACTAGTGCGTGTGTGTGCGTGTGTGTGTGTGTGTACGCGTGTGTTAAGCTCCGGATCTTCTTCAGTCCTAAAGCTGCCCCTGGGCTCAGGCATCTGGTCAGGACGCCTCCTTGGTGAGGTTTTTTGGGCACGTCCAACCGAGAGGAGACCTAAAGAAGACCCACACGGTGGAGGGACTAAGCCTCTCCTCTCAACCGGCCAGGGAACACCTTGAGATTCCCCCCGAAGAGCTGGCCCAGGTGCCTGGGGAGAGGGACGTCTGGGGCTCTGCTTAGGCTGTTGCCCCCACAACCAAACTCCAAATAAGCAGAAGAGAATGGATGGACACTGCAGGCACACTGATAAAACGATTTCTGTTTTCAAATATAAAAACTATTTGTTAAGAGTGACGTTTGAGATATTTTTACTGGTTCCTACACCATTCTCATTTACACCAACAATGCTGCCACTCATAACTGATACAGCATTTTCTGATCTATGTTGCTTTATTTACCAGAAGTGAGCTCACAGCTTTCACCATATAGCAGCTTCTGAGAGTATTCAGCTAATTCAATGTTAAAAATCTGTCATTTTATAGAGGAATGTGGAGGGCGGTGCTGTTCCCAGTTTGGGAGAAAAGCCGAAAGTTACTCCATTTCCATTAGTCAGTGAAAGTAGGAGAAGTGCAGCAGTGACTCTGAGGAGGGTTGCATAAGCTAAATCTATGGTGGGTGGACACAAGCATGACACAATCCTGGAGTTATTTGTTATAATCATTGTGTTTGCTGCCTGTGGGGCCTCATGTGACTCCATGGTGGTTCTGGTCCTCAGAGGGAGGAAGTGACACTCCTGCTGCTGCTGACTGACTTTAGAGGGGCTTTCTGATGCAAACCAGATGTGGGCTTTACATCAGAACATAACACTGAACCAAGGCCGCCGATAATAAAGGATGGATTCAACAATGGCTAGATGGGAGCACCGAGACGCACGTGGGCTGGCAGTTCTCATCATCCCGCCCCCACGCGCATTTCTCCAGTTATCGGTTCGGTATTTTCATGAAATCAAAGCCACGGAACAACCGCTGTACTTACCCCGTAGCTGCGGGTCAGCGTGGCCAATAAACGGCTTAAATGTCTTCAGCATGTCTGCGTTTCTCACTCTGCCCGAATTTCCTCCCGCTGCGTAAAAATAATCCAGCAGCGATTCTTCACTCACGTCACTCATCTCAGCCGCAGCGCTCCTCTCTTCGCTTTCTGGGTGTTTTTATTCTTCTTTCTGCTGTTTTCACTTCGTCATGCCCTCCACACGGCTAATTAGTCGTAGTAGATGTCCAAACTTCACTCCACCCAGAAGAGCCGAGGCTGCTGCGCCCCCTCTGCTTAACCCTTTCACGTCCAGAACAAAGGAGAAGGCATTTATATGGAGAAAAAAACATCATTTATGCATAGTGTTTGTTTTTGTTGAATGTAATCAAATTTACTATGAAAACATTGGCTCCCCTGTAGGATAATGACCAAACCATTCAGTGTAGGTAGCCAGGACGGAGCCACAGATGTGGCAGTGGGAGTGTCCTGTCACAGTGTCCCGATTGATCATGCGCCCTGGCTACTTGGCCAAGGGGATGTCCTTTTGGCTGACTGGTTTTGCGTGCATGACCCTCACCCGGGAGTCTGGGAATCAAATCCCACCCGGGCTGTTGTCTCTCCACCCTGCCACACTATGTAGGGGCCATCGGGAAGAGTCTCAGTAGTTGAACATGAATCAGTACAGTGGAGCAGTGTCTAATCGCATAACACTACAATATGGGATTTAGTAGAAAGTGTTGAATGAAGAATAAAAAACAAAGCATATATAGAACGATATATCATTCCTCATATTAACAACACAATAAAAACTGCTTATTTTCATCTTCGCAATATCAATCAGCTCTGCCCCTCCCTCAGTCAGCACTCCGCTGCTATTTTGGTCCACAGCCTGGTCACCAGTCGCATTGATTACTGTAAAGCCCTCCTCTCTGGTCTCCCTTTAAAATCACTCAACAAGTTACAGTTAGTCCAAAATTCAGCTGCCCGGATAATCACCAAGACCTCCACTTTTGATCACATCACCCCTGTCCTGGAGCAAATTCACTGGCTCCCTGTCAAATACAGAATTGACTACAAGATACTTCTTCATGCCTTTAAAGCCATCCATAATCTCGCTCCCCCTTATCTTTCTAATCTCCTCCACATTGTCACTCCCACTCGCTCTCTCCGATCATCATCTTCACCTTCCCTGTCTGTTCCTCGCACTCGACTTAGTACTATGGGAACCAGAGCTTTCAGCCGCTCAGCTCAAAAACTCTGGAACACTCTACCGCCTGACCTCCGCAATATAAACTCCTTCTCAACCTTCAAGTCTCACCTCAAAACTCACATGTTCCGCCTGGCTTACTCACTGTAATTGTCCTCCTTCCATCTACTCTTCTTAGTCTATTATCCATTGCACTGCTCCGACTCTACCTTTGGGAATTACTTTTAGCATTTATTTCTTGTTGTTTGTATTGCTTGCTTGTTATATTTTGTCCTGTACAGTGACCTTGAGAGCTTTGAAAGGCGCTTGAAATAAAATGTATTATTATTATTATTATCATTAAGCCGATATATCGGGCCAATGATTATCATTTTTTTTAATGTATCGACATATATCGGGTCAGGTGTGTCCAACATGGCCCAGCTTATCCCAAGATTCATTGAGGGATGAATAGGAGATTTTATTATTTCTGTTAGGCAATAACTGTGGATTAAGGAGAGAACCATTTTTAATAGAAGTAGATTAAAATATCGGGGTACATAAATAAAAAAGTTGAAGTGGTTGTGTTAAGAATGGTCATTTACACCATTTAAAAATATCCATTTTTGTCAAAAATCATAAGAAATGTTATAAATGAGCTTGCATTGTGGTAAAGCTGCTGTAGCTCCTTGAAGATGAGATAAATGATAAAATGTTAAAATGTCAAGATCACAACAAGGTTAGGGCAGGAATAAATCTGAAAAGCCTACCGTCCAGTTTCACCACTCCTCACTTCTGGTTTACACGGCCTAACCCTAACCCTCTCCATCCTTTTAAGGATGCAGCCACTGAATCTAGACAACACTACAATGTCTCAATTGGATTTTATGGTGTCATAAGCTCACGAGGTTCAACAAACACAAAAGCCACAACCAATGACAAAAGTGGCAACACAACAACAAACTCCACAGTGGAAATGATAAAAAAACGGAAGTTACAAACATCCTCGCATGAAGTGCATTCAAAGTGAAGCTGTGGCCGGTCAGGTCGTACGCTTAAACAGAAGTTATGCTAATACCTTGTTTATGCCAAAAAAGTCTACAAGATGATAGTGTTGGGCCAGTGAGGTTTTACGACGGTGTAGTGTAATCCGAAAACACTGTTGTCATTTTTAGCATTTGTGGCTTTTTGTTTTTGTGTTGCAGCTGTATTTGTGTCACAGCTTTTGTATTTTAATCAAATGCACAACTGTAGGATAAACAAATACAACTGACGAATACAAAGTGGATCCATTTCAAGATGGCCGACCACAAATAAATAGCAAATACAAAACTTCTCTGTTTGATAATGAAAAATGGCTCACTAGTTATGGATCAGTGAAGAACACACAGTACCCTAACCTAAACACATTTCACTGTAATATCAAGTTGTTGGTAATTAAATAACTGAAGCTTAAGCTATTTTTATAATTGACTAATTCATCGTTAGCTTTGTTAGCCCAACATTTGTCCTGGTACAAAAAAAAAAAGGATGTGGCTTCTAAGGTTTACAAGAAATAACTTCTGCTACTTTTACTGGCTTCCATTCTGTCCACAACACCGCTGCTCTTTGCTGGCCAATGTCAAATTACAAATGCTTTCACTGTGTTTGTGTTAAAGACAGGGCACCTTTGTGGACTTTGGAACCAGGTAGTATGGAGGCGGGGCAGATTGCAAACACATTCTAGGTCCCTTTGCTGTCTTTTTGAAAGATGAAATCCTGGAAACCGCCCAGCCAGCTGAGAAGGAAATCCATTTCAACGTAACCTTCCTTCCAACATTGATTATTCATGTTCTCATGAAGACAACAGGACCACATCATCTGCAAAAGCATTGACCCGATCCTTCGACCATTAAAACGGATCCCCTCAGCACCTTGACTGCACCTAAAAATCCTGTGTTCTGGGGTGGACTGGCCATCTGACATACCAGGCATGTCCTGATGGACCGTTTACCCCAATGCGGGTCGGTCCGGTCCACATTCTTCCCAAAAACATCTCTTCAGGTCTTACTGTCATTGCCCACATGCGCATCGAAGTCCCCCAGCAGAACAAGGAAGTCACTGGAAGAAGCACTCTCCAGCACCCTTCAAGAACCCCCAAAAGCATGGGTAATCTGATCCAGGCCTGGTCTTTCCTATTAACGACACAGGCAAATCTCTTCTTCTTCCGGCTCTTGGAGAGTACAGACACTTTTTTCCTCCTCTCCACCCTATCTTATCCCAAGGCTCTTTGTCTGTCTTTGGGTGTACGGTGCGTCTGCATTTTTTCTGGAAAACGGAAATTACTAAAATGGACCTGTTGATCATCAGAATGGGGCTACTTACTTTAGAACTTGTCAGATTTTGAAAATGCAAAATGTTGCAGCTTTGCAAGAGAAATCTGCACCTTTAGTGTTTAATAGAAATGTACAGCTGCTCAACAGTCTGCGGCTCTGTGGTTGTTTTTAAATCTCCTCTTCACCGGGACTGTTAAATGAACACTCTAAAACATTTGCTTGTTAGTATTGCAACAATTTAAAATGTGTCTGGGTTTGAAGATGCAAAGGGAGGAACTGGCCCATGTGTTCTTTTGTATGTTTCCTGCAAACACCCATGGACAACCAAGTGGTATTGAAAGCAGCACACGATGCCTTCAAATCTCAGTGTACTTTTTCAGAATCCCATCACAGATGGAGAAATGACAGCGTATCCGTTTGTTTCTAAAGGAGAAAGTTTGGAAAAAAGCTGATGGCCGACAGAATTTTCCACTGATAAACCATCTGAGAAGTCTCAGGGGGACTAGAGAAGTGGAAGAACCAGTTATCACAGATATTAAACAGTACAGCTTGCTAATTTTGCTTGTGTTGTTGTGTTGATCAAATGTTTCTTAAAGTCATTTCCTGTGGTTACGCATGCTACTGACGATTAGCTTTTCTCTAATAGAAGAGATTAGACTTTATTAATCCCACAGTGGAGAAATTCACTGTTAAGGCACCACATGCACTTGGAGAACTAATACAGGTAAGTATACAAAGGCATGCCTTCAGCAATTAAAAAATGAATAAAAATAGAAAATCGGGGGTCAAAAATCCCTCTAGGTTACCCTTGCCCTTCACGCTCTGACACTTCTTCAGGCTTTCTTTCCTGGTGCTTTGCATGGCTTTGGGTTGGAGCTCTCAGTTTCCATCCGAGACTGAGCTTGACCTGAGTGAGGCTGGGTCAGTTTGGGCTAAGGACCTTTGGTGTGGATGGCCACACAGAAGAGAGGAGGACCTCAAACCAGACACCATGGAGGCGTTGATTTTCACACACTGTGTGTTAAACAGACATCCTAAAAACAACTGGTTCAGTTGGGCGGACCAAGCCTTGTGTGTGATTACACACAGTAAGCCAGTTTTGGGTTGAGTTTCTGGGCCCACTGAGAACTCTACTCCGGTCCCATTCCAGTCATCTCATCCTGCAACCAGTCGGATCAGCATGTAAGTGTGTATGCAGCTGGGTTTGACTGGATCTGCTTACACTGAAGGCATAACTCAGTAGCATAATGTTTGCATCGGCCTCCCACTGTTTCTCCAAAAACAAAATCTAAAATGCTGATTTTGTATCAGTTTACATGTTTATTTGATTGCTGATGTCATTTGTTTGAATTACCAGCATTTTTTTAAACGTTTATTTCAGCTTTCGGCAAACCTCCTGTTCACTCAGTTCGTTTTGCCATTACACCACATAGGTCGGTGCTCTCCTCAAACCCAAATCCTCCCTTTTCTGGTTGAGAATGGGTTGAGTCCACCATTTTTTTTGTTCTGATTCTGTATCTTTATGTGGCATTGTCCTCTAGAGAAGAGTGGCTGATGTTGGACATGTTTCTAGCAAACTTAACAATTTTTTTGGAGCTTTTTAACTCAGCAGCAGAACGGTTCCCATACCAGACAGTCATGGAAAAAAATAGGTTCACATTGTTGTAGTAAAACATCCAAAACAAAGCATTGTCAAAACCCTAACCATGTCTCTATGTAACAGTGGTGAGGTGATTTATAGCCTGTGTGATCATTCTAATAAACACTTGAGTGGTTTAAGGCAAATCGGTCATGTTGTGCAACATTTCTGCTACACTTAGGAGTCATCACCACCACTTTTTGTGTGGCTGTGTGCAAAAGTCTGGATCAACTAAACGTCATTTATTGAA